TTTGGTTTTCGTGGAAGAGTTAAATGTCGTGAAAGAGATGTTAAAGTCTCGTTATTATAGAACTATTTGTAACCATTAGATCAACTTTATATGACCGTTACATGATCTAACGTACAAACTCAAACGAAATGATTCCATAATAAGATCGTAGCATTTCCCTTTATTTGATTTGGTTTTCGTGAAAGAGTTATGTAGTTGATACATAGCTAAAATGTAATAAATTTACATTGGGTGAACTATAATAATATACTAGTATTAGTTTATATGACACAGACAAATTAAAAATTATATTTTATATACGTATGTATACTATATCTAAAATTTCAAATTATATAGTGGTTGTATTGCATTTTAATTTTATTTTTTTTTACTATATGCAAATGTACAATATAAATGTAAACTATTTAACTTACATATGAAGTTTATGTTGATGACATAAATTTTAATAGACACGATAATTTTATAATTTAGATGGACCTTACAATTAATTAATTAGAAAAGTATTACAATTATTTTTATTATTGTCATAGCAAATTGCAGTACAATATTTTACAAGTATGTAACTTCCACATGTAAATTTATAGTTAGTTAGTATTTGTAGTAATTAATATATAATAGTTTAAAATTATTATTACACTTTTGTTAATGTAAAATGAAACAATTCTAAATTAAATGAAAACAAAAAATCTCGAAACTTGTAGAGTTTGAAATAAATCTAAAGAGTTTTGAAAGGATCCAAAACGATTTTTTTGACCGCAATTAGTGGTGCGATTTAGGGAAAAAAAAAATCACTGTTGTTATATATTGTGATCAGATTTTGGTGTTGACTATAGATCATAAAGTGTCCATCAATGGTGCTACAATTTGACAATTAGCACAATGTTTTCATATACAATTTTGACTTGAGCAAAAAAAAAAAGGTCCAAATTGATCATATCATTACGAATATCATGATTCTCATCTTTTGTCCATAAGATCACAAGTCTAAAGACGAATTCTTGATGCATCCATAAAATTCTACAATTTAAGTCATATAACTTATATATATTCAATTGCAACTTTTGTGTTATTAATTAAATTAAGTCATATATATAACGTTTCTAAAGTATCAATTTTGTGATAGGACACAGATGTGTTATGGCTAAGGGACCCTTTCACATCATTGAGCTCGAACGAAACCATAGACCTACAAATCAGCGTCGATTTCGTCAATCGTAACTCGTCCCTAAACCGAATCCCCATCAACACGGGCTTTTACTTCGTGAGATCCAACGAGAAGACTGTGTCATTATTCCAAACGTGGTACGACATGAGGAAAAACTCGACCGGCATGAAAGAACAAGACGTGCTAGAAAAACTCATGATAGACGGGTTTCTCGAAAAACACGGCCTCAAAACGAGATTTCTCGACCCTACGTACTTTAGCGGGTTCTGTGAGGACAGTCGAGATGTCGAGCGAGTGGCGACCGTGCACGCCAACTGTTGCCGGAGCATAAGTGCCAAGGTGGCAGATTTGAAGGCGGTTTTGAAGACGTGGAAAAAGTTTCGGAGCGATAAAAGTACGGGAAATTGGAATGGGAACTTTCAATGGCCCAGTCATACGTCGTGCATAGATTCGTGGAACGTGACGAAGATGTATAATAGTGCACGATCAGAGTAGGACACCAGAGTAAATAAGAGAGAAATATATGTATTTTTTTCTTTTTTTAAGAATAAGCTATAGAAGTTTTTTATTTTAAAATTTCTCTGAATTAAGAAATATACGTATCTTTTTTTTTTGAAAGAATATTTATAGAAGTTTTTATTTTAAATTTTCAAGCATTTCTTCATTAATTAGTCGTTTAAATTTAAAATTATACTTGTCATTATGCGAACTACAATATATATATATTTTTTAAAACTAATTAGTCAACACTCATCATGTACACTAGGTGAATTGTGTCAATTGATAATATATAATCCTCCCAACTCGTGATGTAATATAACATGATTGATGGTATAACAATTTAATTTAATTAGGGACGTTAATTTTTTTATTTTTTAATTTTTTTTCCAATTAGCATTGATATACAAATTTAATATCAATTTCTAAAGACAGATGTAAACATGTTTTTCTATAAACGCGATGTGAATTTATATATTTTGTAAATTGCAATATTGGTTTTGTTAAAAAATAATGGCATATGCTATACACGAGACAAAAATAACTTTTTCCGTTAATATAATACTACTACAATAGTGTGGTAAAATATAAAATATAAAAGCTAAATACTAAACAATTACGAGTACAAGAAAATAATTATTCAAAATAGCTAGAGAACTAAACCAAACAGATATTTGATCGGTTTAAATTCGTTATTCATTGTCCTTGCATAAAATCACATTTATTAATTCCACTATGTTCGATCATTTTCCTATCAAAATCCAATGAAAATAACCGTAATAACTTAACAAATTCAATAATAAATGAACAAAAGTATATTAATAACTACGGCGAAATGGACATAAAAATTTATTCTAAAATGATGGTAATTTGTCGCAGCCACATACAACAATTAACATCACCCAGAATTAAGATTAGTTGATGAATTTAATTTTTTACCATAGTATTTCGTTTAATTTTTTCTTTTGATAGTGATGTAATATTTAAAATTAAAATGATCATGACACGTTATTACGTAGTAAAATTTAATATGAGATCAAGGTGTAGCGCACATTCTCCAGCAGCCTTGCGTGAATCTCCAACCTCGCGCTCACCCCAAATTGACCGCCTAACACTTGGGCGTCAGGGGCGAAGCCAGCCTCAAATTTCACCGGGATCGGCAATATTTTTTAGCGGGGTCATTAACCTAGTAAACAGTGTTTGAACAGTATTTTATACTAAAAATTTTGAAATCCATAGGAGTCAGCTGACCCAGCCACAAGGTGTGGCTCCGCCACTGTTGGGCGTGTAGGCTTATGCGGGCCGGGTCAGCCCAGTTCAGCCCAATCAAAATATGAGGCAATGGGACGTATTTACTTTTCCACACAGATAGACGTGTAATCCACGGATAATCTGTGGAATGAAGATTGTGGACGAAAATAAAAATCAACATTATGCTACACCATTTCTAAATTTTTACTTATTTATAAAAATATATGAATAATATATAACTTTACCTATTTATTTTTATTCTTAGGTTTCACATAAATAATACTTATTCTTAAGATTTTCTTAATTAATATTTTGAGAACAAATTAGTAATTGACTTGGCATTGTCATAGTCATTCTACAACTCCTATTGTATAAATAGCATTATTATATATAAAAAAAAGAAAGAAAACATTAATAAGCAAACAATGGAGAACGCCAAAAAATGCTCCGACTTCATGAGCCTTGCAATGTTCGTCTCTTTATTCCTAGCAGCTGCTCTTCTTCTTCTTCTTCTTCTACTTTCTTGGCAAACCTTACCATACACGCCTTTATTTATTCAAACGACTTACCATCCCTCTATAGCCGTAAATAAATCGGTAAAATAAATTTAGTTTTCGAGTTATTTTTTGTTTGTAGCCAGCCACGATATGTGGAGTTCTGTGGAGTTTTCGAGTTATTTTGATTAATAGTATGCTATTTTATCTGATTTTTTTTTTTTTTTT